CATATATATCAACAATTAATTCTTGTCATTTATCGTTATTAGTCCAATTAATATATTATACTCCCGCTAACCCATTTAAAAAGCAATTTTAACGCTTAAAATTAGGGTTGTGAGAATATCAATATATTAAATTGAATCATCACAAAATATGATTCAATATATCAATTTAAAATATAAAATATAGACATATAACTATCTATGACAATTTGGGCCTTTTTCCCTATGAATGATCATGAACTGTTAGTTTGATTCAATTTGAGCCATTGACTTGAATCTAGATCTATGTGGGTGATGATAAAATTTGAAAATGTATCATCTTATGACACTAATCTTTTGGGTGTGTCGTTTCAATGGACCTCCATGAACTTTACATCTAGGCTCTACCATACTTTCATCTTTATCTTCAATCCTATTGAACTATTATATTCTAATTCATTACATTAATGAAAAGAAACCTTGATTCAGATCAAGGGGATGTACAACAGGAGGTGAGAGAAGAAATTACATATAGAAAGGAGAAATGAGTCATGCAAGCCCCACTTTTTAAAAATTACATACCCAAAGAACAAAATACAATCACATTGCATTCAAACCAATCACATAGCTCAATTATTTGGTCTAAGTCCATGATCATTCCCACATCCGTTCAATCACATTGCATGAATAAAAGAAAACATGTGATTATTCTAATTATAGCATAAATATCTAGGGATTGCAATTTCCTTAACCATTAAGGATCACTTTAATTTTATTCAAATTAAAATTAATAATTTTTTAAAAAAAATATATTATAGAGTCCTAACCTATTAGGATTCTATAATCAAATTCCTAGTCAAATTAGGAGTCTATTTCAGTTGATCTTTTAATTGGGATCAAATTCCTAATTTGATTCCAAATAAGAGTCATAATCCTATTATGATCCTTTGATTTTAATCCTAGTCAAACTAGGATTTTAGTTTGGGTGGAATACCATTAAGAATCAAATTTTCAATTTTGGCCTAGATAGAAGTCCTAATCTCATTAGGAGTCTTTAGTCCAAAACCTAATCAAAATAGAGTTCTATTCTAGATGGTGTATAGTTGAAAATCAAATTCCTAATTTTTATTCTAATTAGGAGTCCTAATCTCATTAGGATTCTTTGACATAATCCTTGTTAAAATAGGATCTTAGTTTAGGTGGTGTTTATTAAGAATCAAATTCTTATTTTAATAGAATACAATATCCTAATTTAATTAGAAAATAATTTCCCAATTTAATTAAAAAACAATGTAATTTGACTAGAAATATTCTCCTAGTTTATTTAGTAGACAATCTACTAATTTAGTTAGAAGATGTTCTTCTTATTTAATTAAAAGACAATATATTAGTTTGATTAGGAGACAATCTCCTATTTAATTAGTAAACAATCTTCTAATTCAGTTAGAAAACAATCTTCTAAAGTACAATCGTTTAATTTGATTAAGAGACAATCTCCTAATTTAATTAGAAGACAATCTCCTAATTTAGTTAGAAAATAATCTTCTAATCTAAGTAAATGACAATCACTTAACTTGATTAGGAGACAATCTCCTAGTTTAATTAGAAGACAATCTCCTAATTTAGTTAGAAAATAATCTTTTAATATTATTAAAAGATTATCTCTTAATATAATTAGAATACTATCTCTACAAGTAATTAGAAGACAATCTCTTAATTTATAGAGAAATAGATAAAAATTAGATAGGAGACCAAACTGTATCCAACTTGAACAAGCCAAGAGTCCTTACAATATTTAAGTCTTGAGACTTTATAAATCTAATTTTTTTTTTTGTCCAATTTAATTTTGAAAAATTATTAAAATTAATTTTAATATTTCATAAACAAAATTAAAACCAATCCTGAACAAAAATTTAGATCAAATCAAAATAAGATTTGTAGAACTTTAAAAGAACGTTATGAACTAGTGTTTTAAGTTCTACTTCAAGACCACCATTATCATCCACCATGGATGAAAAAATTTTCTCCTAACCACCCTTGGACAAAAAATCTAACTCGTTCCATCCTTGGTTCAATCTCAAACCCGAAACTTGTTTTAAGGAAAATTAGTTGCTACTTTTTGCAACTACGTTTCTTCAATTTTAAAATCTAATTTTAAAATAATTTCAAATATATGGATCCATTAATATCTCATATTAAACATGTAAACACAAAAATCAGAATTTATTTTGTAGAACACTCGTACAAAATAATATGATTCATGTGAATTATGCAATTCCTAATATTTTTCGGTCAATCACATTAACATGCTATAATGATAATCACATCAAGTTTGTATTAAATCATAAATAATGGCTCTGATACCACTGAAAGGAATCATATAATAAACGCATTAGAATTTAAAATTAATAATTTGATTCCTCATACCAAGATCTATTCATGTTTAATACAAACCGAGAAACCTTAGATCTATAGAGAAGATTAATAGTTACCTCTTGAAGCGTGCCTTTAGCAATCTTCAAGCATTCTCAAAAGCTTTAAATCTTCAAATTTGAATTTGATCTTTACCCCAAGTCTCGAAAACATTTGGCCTCTATCGGTATCCACACAAATTGACAAACTTGAAGGATTTATTTCAACCATTGATATATTAGTAGAGAGAGAGGGAATGATGGATGGTTCTTCTTGTGCTAGCAAGAGAGTTGTTATTTCTAATATCCACCACCTACATAAAGGTATTCATATAGCTTTAAAGGCTCTAATCCTAGTTCATAATTACATATAACCCATTTGTTAAACATTAATTGCAATAAAGTTCCTAATTTAACTCTTAATTAGGTTTTCACCCCAATTAACTCTTAATTGGTTGTCTCTCCTTTATCCTTTAGTTTCTAATCAATTCTATTGTGTGTGACCATATAGGTTTAAGCATACTCAGTTGTAGGCATTCGACACTAACTACAAGTAACATCTCAAATTAAAAATCTTTCTAATTTAGCTTGAATTAAAACTATTCTAATTCTCCCTTATGAAGAACAATTAATATATTTATATTAATTTCATTCTTCGAGCTTCTACTAATCATGAGTGACACCTAATAGTATATCATGATCAACCTCCAGATAGCACGAAGTAGATAAAGAACTCATTCAGTCTATAGTTGTCATGCAATTCAATCTTTCTGTCACACAATGCTCCAATTAAATTACTTGGATATGGAATTACTGTCAAACCCCTAATACAATCTTATGTATTTGATCTTAGGACTATAACTCTTAATGATCAATTAGAAACTCTTTTCTAATTGTCATTCTGTCTTGGCCAAGGACTCTTTGAATCATATTCCAAAAGATCACATATGACATTCTCCCTTTAATTACTAAGGATGATAGATTCTATTTTGTACACTCATAAGTCTTCATGCATGTCTAATTATGTCCAACAATACATATCCAAGTTATATGGTTAGTATATGAATATGTTGTATAGTTAAAACATAGAAGTCCATGCACAAGACAACCATGGTGTCTCAAGTCGAATGATCAGTTGCATAACTATAACTTTAGGATTTAATATTAACAGACATGTAAAACTCTATATGAAAAATTCTACGTAAGTCAATGTTCACGTTCAGTGTACTTGTTCTCTAATTGACACCCACACACCTGCTTTAGTGTCCCAACACTAGTAAATTGGACGCGTCACCTCATATCAAATACTAGGGATAACCCGTGCCTCAAGGCACGGTGCAACCAAAAAAAATTGAACATTGAATAATCAAGCACATAACTAAAAGCCTAAACTCGCCTTATATCGGGTGTCTGAAGGCACTGTACATAATTCTTAACACGAAATAATCAAACAATGAATACAAACATGCATTAAGCTGAAAATCATTTGGTCAATTTTAATTTCATTACTTTAGTGAAATAAAAAGGGTCAAAATGTGGATATTCCGTAAAAAAACTTTTAATTGTTCAGCAGAGTATTCTCTGAAAATATAATGCTACAAATATATAAACCTATCTACAAAATTTACATATTTCTTAATCATAATCAAATCATGTCATACACATACTGAAATCCAACTATGTGCCAATTTTTTTTTTTTTGATGAACAAGAGCCAAACTACAACACAACTCCTTAAAAAGGAGAAGTGCAGTAGTCGGCATATAAATACACCCCAAAGTCCCGATGTGGGACAGCATCAATTTTTGATGAATTATGTACCAATTACCACAACATAATTCTTCATACACAAACAACTATATCCATACTTGTAAAAGTGACAAATAGAAGATAAAATTCTTAAAAAATTGAAATAAACCTATAGAAATTTTCAATTACAGACAACTTTAATCACAAAACAAAATGACATAAATGCTTTTAAATCAATCGCTATCTCAATGAATGAACAAAAACCAAGTAAGAGGTTTTGAATTACATTTTTGGTCACTAAAAAATTTGCTTAAGGCAAAAAGGTAGTGGGCATAAATTAAAAAAGCACTCAAGAAAAGCAAGGAGGAGGCTATGAAAAAACCTTCTGGTGTTAAAAGCTTCCAATATCTAGTGTAATTTAGCTTTAAACAAGTGCACTACTCACCAAAAAATTTCTCCTTTAAATACTGGAATAATGGTCATATAATTTTTCCGTTGCAACTTCAGGGCTGATAGTCCAGTCTGTGGAGAGATTTTGAGGATAAACAGAGATTGGTGTCCTAGTCCAAGGCTCTACTTTGTAAGTCCTGAAATAGGCTATCGTTTGAAGTTGGAAATAAGTTTCTTCAACAAAACAACCTAAAAGCCTTGATTCCTTCTAACTAACAACCATGTAATTTCATAAATAGTTATCCTTAACAAATGTTTTATGAACATACTTTGTGGATACGCTGCAATTTGACAGAACAAATGGTATGCACCCAGAACACTTCAATTAAGTTTAAAGACACCTCTAAATTTCTAACAACATTCACAGGCAATATAATTTAAAAGCAAGGACCACCATGGGTAGTAAACCAATGACCTAAGGAATTCTTCTCCTCACCTGCTGGTCAAATTCAGTGAAGTTGTAAACAGCAAGAACAACTGCAGAACTTGCAAAACTTCCACATGTTAGGTGAGGAAACTTCAGACGGAACCATGCACTAAGAGCTCCAGGGTATGAAACGCCAAAAACAAACCAAGGATTTTCAACATTTGTGTTGAGCTTCGCGTTTAAGGATTCCTACACAGTAATGCAAAATAATTTTTTATAAATAAATTAAGAATTGTAATAGCAATGGAGAGAATCCGAAGAAAAACAAAAAGGAAAAGAGAGAAACTTGTCAACTTCGTATCCTGAAGCCACAAAGACAACTATAGATCAAATGAAACAAATGCAATTCCTCAGGGAATGTGTGAGTGTACAGTGTGTTCACACTTCACATGTACGTGCAGGCATACAAATATCTGTATTTGCCTAAGCAAAAATAAATGCATGTTATCATTAGTACTCATATATGTGAGTATATATGAATGATAATAAGCTTAAGATAAATGTACCATGAGAAACAAATCTCTGAATCCAAACAAAATCTTATTATTTACCTAGTGATAAGGCCAAAGGTACACTCAAATGTTTCTATTTAATTCATAGCAGGTAAGGCCATCTTTTCCCATACAGAGTTAAGTGCAACTCTCATGCCACACCAATTAAATAAAGGTGGTTGCATTTAAGAAGTTCATGGCCCAGCAAAAAATGCAAGGAGTTTTGTCTTATTTTTCTTCTAGCAATTAAGAACTTTATTTCGAAGTAATTGATACAACCAAATTGTATAAGCACATGTCCTGTGGTCTTTTCTCTTATGGCCATCTCTCCGTTCGAGAACTTCACCATGATCCGAATCGCTTGGCTCTAAATTTTGGGCTACAATGACTTAAGTGATCATAGGACATGACCACTGAAATAATTTGGCCATGACTCAACATTTAGAGATGTCCTCCTCTTTCATCCTTAGGTTGCATGCAATATTTTGAATCCCTTGGCTGTAAATCTTGATCAACACCTCACTTTAATACATGATCTCATTAACAATATATATTGTAATTAGGTCCAACTAATTCTAGAACTCATTGCAAATGTTGTTGTGTGTGCAGGATCTTGCACAATATAAACACGATAACAGATCTCTCCCGTGGTGAACTCGAGTCAGTCAATCGAATGGTCAATCTTGCTACTTGGAACAGACTGTGAGGTCCGTTGGTGGCCTGAAACGGTAATGGGTGACTTTCGTGGATCAACGGAGCGGTCAAGTAAGGCTGAGAGAGGTTTCTGGAACAGAGAAAAATGAGTTAGGAGAGCGCCGGAGTGTTTTTCGGCGTATCACCTCCGACGATCAAGTCAGTTCTTTGAGAGAGAGGAAGGAGAAAACACTGTATTTCTTTGAGAAAAAGGTTTTTTGTTGCCTCCCATCTTGCCTTTTATGAGGAATATTTATACCACAAAAACTCATGATTATTGTCAGTGTGGTCAGTAGGTGATCATTAGATATGGGCAACGTGCGCATTGATTCCTATGAGGAATGACTTCTCTCTTAACTGCTCGGGACTCTGAGCAACCAATGCTTCATCGTCGGCCTGCCGAGTGTTTAATGAGCTTCTCTCGACAAGGATGTAATAAATGTCCAGTCATAGAGACATTTATTACCTTTCACTTCCGAGCCTTCCTGCATTAAATGATGTCTCATCAAGGGAATGGTGCACTAAATGCTTGCTTTCCCAAGTCGTGTGTCAGCAAGGGCATCTCGGTCTTTTTGTCTCTGATCTGACACAATATGCCACGCGCCCATTCCCCATTGGTTGGGTCTTCTGCCTTCTTGTGCCTCCTGACACCAATTGTGTAAGACGAGGTCATGATGGCTAACCTAGCCTAGCCTAGGCTAGTGACCTGTACATCAATAGCCTCTGCAGGAGTAGAGAACGCCATCCTGGACGGGTACATCTCGGTACCGAGGGGAGTGGTACATGTAGGGACCGATGTACCCCATATCCGACTGAGGGATACGTGTCAGTACGTAAACGTATTGGGTGTCATTGATCCCTATGAACAGTACCTCAGGGGAAGAGGGACTTGTGAACCGACGGGTACATGTCGTGATCACAGTAACAAGAATTCATTGATGCCGATAACACGTGTCTTCATCTTGGAGTATTTGGAAATGTCCCATCAACTGCCCCCCAGCCTTCGATCTCCTGACACCGAGGACACGCGTCGTAAGGAGACGAAGGGTTCTGCAACTACCCCAACTACTTCATTATTACCTCTAGCCGCTTTCCCCTACTTAGGAAGTCATGCGCATTAAATGCGCCTCTTTGTGCTTCGTGCCCAAATGATGGGGATGAGTACTATATAAATGGGCTTCCTCTCTCCCTCTCTCATTTCGTCATTTTGAACTTCTTCAGAGAGCCCTTGCCTGAAACCTCGCCGGAGATCCCTTTCCTTTCGTTGTCTACTGCCCAATCTTTCACCGGAGTCTCAAGGCCAGTAAACCCATCCTTGCTTCTGAAAATTCTAGGGGAAGGAATCACTTCAAGTTTTCAAGAAAAACTTGTGTTTACGTTCTGGTGAGTCCTTTTATCTTCCCTCTCTTCGCCCTTCTGTCTCTTCTTTTCTTCTTCTCGCTGTTTTTATTTTTTTTTGATTTTTCGATAACCGGAGGTGTTTCTGGTTGCCATTCTATGACCAACCCCCGGGAAGCCTCCTCATGGATATTCGTGGGAAAACCCCTTCCTTCTTCCTCAATTTTCATCATTTTTGGAGATGCCCTGACGTCGCCCCGCCCCTGAGAATCCTCAGGCTAGTTCCTCGAGGCCAGGAAAGTACAAATGAAAGGGGCGAGCAGATTAATAGGTTTAGGGTCCAGTATGACATCCCCTCATATGTATACATAGAGGATTATAACTCAGCTGTGCATTCCCGTACCCTCGGGGCTGAGGATGAGATGCCCTTTTATACCAAAGCCATCATAGAGGGCAGAATTAGGTTCCCTCTACCCCCTCTAATCCTCTAGTTCCTCTCCCATTTCCACCTCTTCCCCGGGCAGTGTTATCTCAATGTCTTCAGGATAATAATGGGAGTCTTAGAGCTCAACAAGCGTCTCGGGGTAAATGTTGGGTTGAACGATATCCTCTTTTGCTAGTCCCTCTTGAGAGTCATGCCTCATTAAAACTTCTACCTTAAAGCTAGGGACCCATCCATGTACCTCGTAACTCATCTTCCTGACTCGGACAAAGGGTACAAGGATGACCGACTGATCTTCAAGGGGTCCTGGCAGAGGGGTGCCGGTCCCGAATACAACGGTCTGTTATGCCCTTTGGAATGGAGAACGACAAGTACGTCGGCTTCTTCGAGTATTATTTTGTTCTTGAGATTTTTTGGAAGTGTTCATAACTCCCTCTCCTCCCTTTTTTTTTTTTTGTGTAGACGTCTCCGCTCGGGAAACAGCTCCTCCACTTCGGTACTTGGTAAACTTTATCGACCTCGTCACTGTTTGGAGATTTGTTGGCGACAACGGGTTCAGCCGGGCAACTCATATTCTTCTGAACTATACTCCCGGATATAAAAAGTTTTCACAGCTCCCCCAGCCTTTCGAGCCTTCGCGGTGGTCTGAATTCTTCGATCAAGCTGCGCAACAAAAGGTCGAGGAGAATTTGAAGGAAGACTACAACCGGGCTACAGAGGCCGAAGTAGAGGGTGCTATCGAAGTTGAGGAGTTCGGGACCAGGGAGGCTTTTGTTCCTTCATACGCCGAAGTGGGGACTTCGGGGAGAGATTCGTGGCCAGACTTCCAAATCCTGCAGTCCCTAGATGGGGAGGACGCCCTCGAGGTAGCCATGTCGAACACGTCTCGCATAGATCTGGGGTTCCTGAGGCAGAGGCAGGCCTTTGCTGCCGGGAGGGGACGAGGATCAACCAGCGAGACCCCATCCATAGGGACCAGCGCCACCCCCTTCAAGAGTCATTGGTCGGGGTCAAGTGCGTGACCGAGATCCTCAGGTAGAGGAGGAGAAAAGGGTCAAACAAAGGCACGACGGCCTTGGCAGGGGATCTAGGGCCCCCTCCGCTCAGCAACAAAGCGGGAGAGGCCGTGGGTTACCTCCTCATCTTCAGCAACAACAACAACAACAGCAACAATAGCAGAGGCAGACTCCACTCCACCTCCCCCTCCACAGACGGCGCCAGATTATGCGTGCAGGATCTTGCACAATATAAACACGAGAACAGATCTCTCCCATGGTGAACTCGAGTCAGTCAATCGAATGGTCAATCTTGCTACTTGAAACAGACTGTGAGGTCCGTTAGTGGCCTAGAACGGTAATGGGTGACTTTCATGGATCAACGGAACGGTCCAGTAAGGCTGAGGGAGGTTCCTGGAACAGAGAAAAATGAGTTAGGAGGGCATCGGAGTATTTTCTGGCGTATCCCCTCCGACGATCAAGTCAGTTCTTTGAGAGAGGGGAAGGAGAAAACACTGTATTTCTTTGAGAAAAGGGTTTTTTGTTGCCTCCCATCTTGTCTTTTATGAGGAGTATTTATACCTCAAAAACTCATGATTGCTGTCAGTGTGGTCAGTAGGTGATCATTAGATATGGGCAACGTGCGCACTGATTCCTATGAGGAATGTCTTCTCTCTTAACTGCTTGGAACCCTAAGCAACAAATGCTTCTTTGTCGGTCTGTCGAGTGTTTAATGAGCTTCTCTCGGCAAGGATGTAATAAACGCCCATTCATAGGGACATTTATTACCTTTTATTTCTGAGCCTTCCTGCATTAAATTATGTCTCATCAAGAGAATGGTGCACTAAATGCTTGTTTTTCCAAGTCGTGTGTCAGCAAGGGCATCTCGGTCTTTTTGTCTCTAATCTGACACAATATGACACGTGCTTATTCCCCATTGGTTGTGTCTTCTACCTTCTTGTGCCTCCTGACACCAATTGTGTAAGACGAGGTCATGATGACTAACCTAATCCAGCCTAGGCTAGTGACCTGTACATCAATAGCCTCTGCAGAAGCAGAGAACGCCATCTTGGACGGGTACATCTCGGTACTGAGGGGAGTGGTACATGTAGGGACCGATGTACCCCATATCCGACCGAGGGATACGTGTCGGTACGTAAACGTATTGGGTGTCATTGATCCCTATGAACAGTACCTCGGGGGAAGAGAAACTTTTGAATCGACGGGTACATGTCGTGATCACAGTAACAAGAATTCACTGATATCGAAGACACGTGTCTTCATCTTGGAGTATTTAAAAATATCCCATCAGTTGCAATGCTCTGTAATTCAATAAAAGGCACAGAATGTTATCTACTATAACACCACACCTTTCTTGATATTTAGCAATAATGTAATCCATCCTCAAATTGGACAATGATTGGCATGTAGAACAACAGCCATAGAAGTCAAGCTGAAACTGCCTGGTAATATTGTCGGAAGACAGCCAAGTCAAAAAGTGCCTGCTTTGATGAAAGGTATTTTAGATTCTCCGTAGTCAAAGATTTTAAGTAGATAGAACTAATTGATTTTTGATTTTGGAGTTGCATCTTTTGCATCTTATTATGTAAATATGAGTATGCTTATCAACTGGAATAGTCGGGACAAACTACAAAGCATCTCTGACTTTTTATAGTAAACATTGAAG